ATTCACTCGACAAGCTCGCGCATCTGCGCCGCCGCACGCTCAATCCACTCAGCGTGTTTTGCTTATCAGTGTGCTTTGCTTATCAGCTCGCGCACATCAGCTATACAGGCGTTAATACTGAATGTTTAACATTATATTCATTGCATACATATACTTCGTAGACATCCTAATCTCTAATAACTTCATTCTGCTGTCTGTTGTTCTTTTGTCAGTGTTTCTTTGTGTGAATATGGCACTTATCACATGCTGTGTGGTATCGGCGTTTGGTATCGGGGCATTTTAACGAGTACGAGTACATGAGCTCAGTATCGGGCCCGATACCGATAACAGTATCGTATCGGTGCATCCCTACAAATAACCATCACAGTTGTTGATATAGAGCCATATTGCTTTATCTTTGGTATCTCCTCTGTAGACATCTTGAGTAAAACAGGAGCAAAACACCTGAACGAAAGTGATGTGACCTGTTTTCAAGTAGTGCGGAAATTTTTTGCGCAAAATTACTATGATTACAAAATTATGACAATTGTTATAATTTAAAAACGCATGTGGTTCTTTTCTTTAAAACAATTCTAGTAAATATTCCCAAAGTACACACTCTTAAAAAGTTATAGGGAATATTATGGTAGCATAACTATCTTTATACTACATACTAATATACAATTAATTTCCTTATTAGTGTACTAAAAAAGAAGATAAAGGAATCTAAGTCAGGCCGTTTCATGGAGAAAGATAAACAGATCTTAGAAGAACTGAAGAGTCTTCACTGTGATCCCCATCCATACTGTTCTGTGTATCCCTCAGAAACCGACCTCAGTAAGTATGATTAAATCTGCTTTTATGTGGTGGTCAAAATAGGACAGTTCATGCTATTTCTCCTGCTGTTAGATTTTCATGCATGAAATGTACCAATAGTTCCTAACATCAGTAATTGTGAATAATTTGATCAATAATTAAACAATAATGAACAATATCAGTAATTGGGGGCATGTGGGGGGCATACACCAAACTAGGTTGCTTACATATCTTTACAAAACAGTCCTAATGTTTTTGATAATGACTCTTGAAAATGAAACATAGTCTAATATATGTAGTCTCACCACCTTACAATTTCTGTTTGTGGGTAGAAGCTTTTTTGATGTATATTGCCCACAGACCGTCATAATCCTCAAAAACCTATAGCAACACATTAATTGGTTTGCATATCTGTCACTTCATCAGATAGCGTCAGTTGCTTCCTCTAATTAAAGAGGTAGTCAAAATTACACATTTAAGTGTGTTCAAGAAAGTTGTTGTCATTATGCATTTAAAATATATTTCAGCTTTTTGGAGGATTGTCATGAAAGGACCTCCAGAAACCCCCTATGAGAATGGAACCTTTGAGCTGTATTGTCAGTTTGGCCATGACTATCCAGTAAAGCCACCTGTTGTACGGTTCTATACACCTGTATCCTTGAGCCTTAGTAGTGTCACAGTAATTTTCATAAACTGATTTCTGTTTTTCCATTAATACATTAAGAGTAAAGCATAGAACACCTTAGAAAAAAGTATTTCTCTAGCATTTTGTACTCTATAAAATCCTTAACTGCAGTACAGATTTACCATTGCAACATCAACAGTGTGGGAAGGATTTGCCACAACATATTTGATCGAAACTACTCAGCTGATGTTACTATGAGAGAGATCTTGGATGCTGTATATGGACTTCTGATACTCCCAGAGGCTGACGATCCACTAGACAGGTAGCCTCCTTCTTCACCTGGTGTTTTTTTCATTACCACTTTAAAACTCTAAAAGTTTTTTTATGATTCAATGGACTTAACAAATCTGATATAATCAGAACATACCACAGACAGAGACTAAAGTCCATTTAAGTTGTAAAATGCATTACATTATTTATTTAGCATCGATCTGATTCTGTACATGTATTTTTGTCCACTATCGTATCGTTAGCATATTAGCAGAGGAATTCCTGACTAGCAAAGAACTCTATGAGCAAGCAGCTAAAGATGACACTGCAATAAATGCACATCAGTCCATGGAAACCATTGAAAAGGTAAAATCTTTTTCATTCCATTATTACCAACAAACTTAGCCCAGAGTTTTTGGTCATAGAGAACTCATGTTTCTGAATTTTGAAGGACACTCAATTTCATTACTGGACAATCATACATTTTAAAATGTCTTAAGAACAAATAAAAATATATATTTTTGAAGTGGGATTAGAAAAGAAAAGTACTTGAGCAGCCCCTAGGTCAACATTTCAACAGGTTAAAATTGTACATATTTTATAACGTATAAATCTGAGCTCTGTACACTTGTAGTAAATTAAATTGTGAATCATTTCTGTATGCATATATTTGATTATCCTGTTTTATGATAATAGTTATAAAAAACATTACAACTTTATGTAGGTATGTATGTATTTATTTATTTTTGCATTTCAATCTGTTTTTCAGCAATATATAGGTGAGTGCGATGTTGAAGTGCCTCCTCATCTGGTATGTCCTTTGTCAGGGAAGATGTTCATTGATCCAGTCAAGGCCAAAGGTGGATATGTGTATGAGAGAAGAGCCATTGAGGAACATCTTAAGATGTAAGTTTCAGTGGATTAGTCTCTGAAAAAGTTGAGATTTATTCATAAGAGTGGTTTACAATTTATTTGTGTTAGTGCATTGAGAGTAACTGAGTTAGGTGCTCAGAATTGTGCAGGAATTGTCTCTCGTGGTTCTTACTGTTAATGTGGAGTTATTGGAGTGGATATAACTGGAGTGGAGTGGAAATATTATGGTATATCAAGGTGCCATTCACCCACTTTCTAAATGAAACTAAGATTTGCAAAAGGGGTGTCAGGCAGAGGGTGATGGTGAACATGAGTAACAGGGTTCCTTACTAGACAGAGGCCAACAAACAAGCTATTTTCATAACCCATGATATTATCATAGCAACATTATATGGTAATAAAATGCTATTAGAAAGGAAGTTGTCTTGCATGCTCATATAGGAGGGATCTTATCTACCTGTGGTGGTCAGCAAAGGAAGTTCCTTGCTTTAATGTTGTCTTCTATATTGAGGAGGTTTATATAGTAGGAAGATAATAACAGATTTTTTTTAAAAATTGTTGCAGGAACAATAATGATCCAGTAACAGGGAAGGCACTTAGGTGCACAGATCTTACTCAAGATAAGGACGTAAAAAAATCTGTTGTGGAGTATCGTACATCCCAGATAGAGGAAACAGATCGCTAAATGAAGTAGATACTGTTTTGGCAGTGATTCAACTGCACTATAATAATCACACAATCCTCTATCTATCATATTCATCCTTCATTCTCTTTTGATTGTGGAGTACAGCTTTTTCCTTTTTCTTGTGTAGAAATTACAAAATTCCACTGTATATTATTAATTTGATATGTTGTACAATATTTTATTTATCTTTACTTATGTATTTAAATATTTATCTTATTTAGAACTGATACATTTTAAAGGTATACAAGAGAGGTTATTATGGAAGCTTGGATTATGGAATCCCCCACAAGATAAAAAACAACAACTCCCAATTCTGATTTTTTTGTGTGCAATTTTGAGTTTATATCTGATAATTCAGACTTTGTGTTTCTCAGAAATTGACCTTTTTTATTTTTAATTCCATGGCAGAAATGGTCTTCCATAGGTTATTGCTTATTGAAATATAAATATAATCAATTTTCAATTTCCTTTAAGAAAATGACATTAAAGAAATGTCAACTGTAAGAACAGTTAAACAGATATTCAGATTTACATTTGTTATACATTTATTTTACATTTCAAAAACATTACTCAAATATTATTAGCCTTATATATCTGCACATACAATTAAATTAACTGGTATGTATGAGGGGAAGAGTTGCTGTTATATTTTACCAATGTTATTTGGGTTTAAAGTATATTAAATATCCATTTTCCATATCAACCTGTTTGTCTTGCTGTGTTTATATGTATTCTTTTTTTTTTTATAATACCAGACACAATACATGACGACATGAGACAAACACATAGAAATGTCTCAAATATGTTAAAATAAGTAAACATTATGTGTATATATTATTGTATATATGTTCTAGCTTAATTGCATCTGGCTCAGTTTATACTCAATTTTACATTTTAAAAATTACTTTTGACAGGTCAGAAATCCATGAGGCAAAATTATCTCTAATAATTGACTTGTGATATTCTTTGTCACAAAAATATTTATTTCAAATACATACATAGTATGTAGTTCACAGTACCCTGACTCTCCAGTGTTGGTCTGTTTTGAAGGCATATGCTAAGTGAATTTATATATAGACTACAGACAACTTTTTAAAATTAAAATGGACATTTTATTGCAGATCATAACATAACAGTTCAGTTTTCATAAAGTTAACCTATAAATGGTTTAAAGCATTGTAAACAGGGTGGAGCCGCCTCTCATCGGGGATGGTGATAATAAATGGTATTTGATGGTATTAAATGGTATTAATAAATGGACAACAGTCTTCAGCAATTAATGCACCAAAGGTTGCTGCTCAGCCTGAAATCCTTGAACAACTTCCTGATTTATGTGGTTCAGTTAGGTGGTTGAATTTCACCATCAATGCAACAAAATTCACTAAGAATCAGTATTCATCCTCATTTATGTCACATCAGTCTTTCTGACATGTTAGGAAGCCCCTTATAGACAATTCATTAGAGGAAACACATAATTAAAAGAACACAGATGGCAAAAGCCAGCTGTGAGACCTCAATATTACTCCAGAACCTTTGGCTTCAGGTACATATGGAAGATCTAGTCGACTCAACTAGTGATAATTAAATATCTTTTAGAGTGGAACACATGAAAGCATCAAACACGCACAATCATACATACTTGTCTGTCTTGTCTTAGTGAAGCAACGGGTGTCTTTATCTTTAATCAAACAAATGACCACCCAGACATCCTAGATCTGGACAACATGTCCTGATCTTCACATTCAGAATTTCAAAGAGTAACTTTTAAGATCCTTCTCCAAATAATCTCGGGCAGCCTTGCACATTACGCTTGAATCAATTCAGTCACAGCAAGATTCAAATGTGACAATTACCATTCTAACTTTTTGAACTACAGTGTTTGTGCATTTGAATGAAGCACACTAAGAGTCCTCCTGCATCCTTCAGAAAGTCCTGACTGGGTTCTCCAAAGATGAAGAACTCAAGCTAAATGGATAAATAGGAGGAAATGGCACGGTTGCAGAATATAATGCATCACGGTTCTCATGAGCTTGTTTATAGTTTTATTAACTTTGCATAAGGTGCAGAATGATAGGAAATGCCCATTGGGAATGGTGATTTTGGGCAGATTATGGGACAGATCTGAAACCATTAGGGAGTTGTTGCTGTTGCCCGGCCACTCTTCATCTTCTCCAGCCTTTTCGAGAGGTGGCTGTTAAAAAATTGTTGCAGGAACAATAATGATCCAGTAACAGGGAAGGCACTTAGGTGCACAGATCTTACTCAAGATAAGAACGTGAAAAAATCTGTTGTGGAGTATCGTACATCCCAGATAGAGGAAATAGATCGCTAAATGAAGTAGATACTGTTTTGGCAGTGATTCAACTGCACTATAATAATCACACAATCCTCTATCTATCATATTCATCCTTCATTCTCTTTTGATTGTGGAGTACAGCTTTTTCCTTTTTCTTGTGTAGAATCCTTACTAGACAGAGGCCAACAAACTAGCTATTTTCATAACCCATGATATTACCATAGCAACATTATATGGTAATAAAATGCCATTAGAAAGGAAGTTGTCTTGCATGCTCATATAGGAGGGATCTTATCTACCTGTGGTGGTCAGCAAAGGAAGTTCCTTGCTTTAATGTTGTCTTCTATATTGAGGAGGTTTATATAGTAGGAAGATAATAACAGATTTTTTTTTTAAATTGTTGCAGGAACAATAATGATCCAGTAACAGGGAAGGCACTTAGGTGCACAGATCTTACTCAAGATAAGGACGTAAAAAAATCTGTTGTGGAGTATCGTACATCCCAGATAGAGGAAACAGATCGCTAAATGAAGTAGATACTGTTTTGGCAGTGATTCAACTGCACTATAATAATCACACAATCCTCTATCTATCATATTCATCCTTCATTCTCTTTTGATTGTGGAGTACAGCTTTTTCCTTTTTCTTGTGTAGAAATTACAAAATTCCACTGTAACTACCATGAAAAAAAAAAAGTTGCGCAAGCTATTCATTTTATTGTATGTACATATAAGTAGAACTTTTTTTTAACAAAAGCAGACTATTGTACCTCACGCTGCAGTTTGCGTTTTTCAGCTTTGAGTTCGTCCTCCACCTTCTCTGCGTTTTCAGATGCGGCTTTGTAACGGGTCACCTGACCCTCGAGCCTTGTGACCTACAACATGAGTTAATTAAAACAACTTCAAATGTTATTTCACTATTTCATATTTTAAAAGGGTAAAATGTGTTACAATTATTAGTAATAAAATATATTAAAGGAACTCACATTCTGTCCATGTGCTGTGACTTCTTGCTCTGATTTGACAAGCTTAAATCTGAGGTCATTGATTTGTCTGTTGGCATCCCCTGAAATAAGGAACAATTACACATTTCTCAACATCTCAGGCTGAGGGTCTTACTTGCTCTGGCAATAAACCAAACCTGTTAAAAATGATTGCTAACAATGTAATGAATATTGTGAGCTGAAGAAAAGTTTCTAAAATGTTTGCTCTGAAGCTGACTGAGTGCAGGCAGTTTCTTACTCTGTACATCCATGATGTTGGAGTCAGTGCCGTTCTCCAGCACATCTCCCTCTGGGCTGGACGCGTCCTCTATACCATTCGTCTGTTTCTTCTGCTCAAGCTGACCTTTCAATCTCTTAACCTTAACAGAATAAAACAGAAAATATTGCTTGTAATGGCACAAAATGAGGACAAAGTCAATGTAAAGTAACTGCCAGAAACACACCTGCTCTATTAAGTTTTCCCTCTCATCAACCAGTTTTCGCAAGCGAATTTCTGAAAAGCGAGTTCAAAAGATAGACAATTAAAAACCAACATAATTTTTTCTTGCAGGTTTTTTTTTTTGGAAAGACAACTGTATATCCACTTCAATATGATAAGCACTTTTGGCTACATTCATACATTTTTAACAATTACAGTTACACATCTAAAACGTCTTTTGCAATAATAAAATATTACATTCTCATTTTAAAACAAATTCCAAAGTTAGACAGGAAACATTTCACATACCAGGGGTAAGAGGAGCCAAAGGCATGGAGGGGGAGGAGTCAGGGCATGCAAAAAGTGAGGCTATCCTATGCTGGGATGTGAATGATGAGGATGGACAACATGCAGAAACTTCAGTGACATTAGAGGCTTCAGCCTCATGTAGTCAAATCTCTCAGCGTTCACTCAATCAGTACATCTATTACATGTCAGTGTTTTTCATGATGTGAGCTTACTTGAGTTATGCGATGAGTGTGTGACATACTATAATTCATGTCCTAAAAATTAAAACTGTCATGATTAAAAATAAATCAATATTTTTAAATCATTAAAAATAAGTCATTTTTATCTGAAGCAGTTTAATTAAATTTCCTCTATCATTGTATAATAAAAACTTATCCAGTCAGCTGGAAAATGCAATTATGACTAAAAATTTCTGCTGTAACACAATCAATAAACAATAGTGTAAAACATATATTTGCTTACGTTTTATTTTAACATAAATGGTTCAGTGAGTTAACATACACTAGGTCTCAATGTCCCAATATCTTCACCAAACAGAATAAAATATTTCCATTTGTTTTCAATCATATCTCCCAACAAATTAATTGTAAAAACAAAATGTAACAACAAAGCAGTCTAAAATTGAATCTAAGTCAAAATTTAGAGGAATGATTAATAGGGGTTGGCACACAATAAAAAATTTTTATTTACCACAATTTTAAACAACATAACACCCATTTAAACCAAATATATTATGGGTCCTTTGTAACTGAAAAGATTGTAATTAAGAAGCTGCTAAACATGACTACAGCACAGACAGAAAGTTGGTCATTTCCAATAGAAAAACACGTATTACTCATATATTATTATGAGAAACATTTTATTCATGCTATTGTAAAATTTCATAATAAATAGGACACTTTATACCCATTACTGCTAGCATTTAATGTGTGATTGGTTTTGGGATTTTAGATTCAGGTTGAACTAATTTCCTGTGTTCATTCAGTATTGTTAATCAGGTGTAAAACATTCATGTATAAAATATGTTTGCTGAAACAGCTGCAGTGACTGATAATTGGGCTTGACTGTAAGATCACTTTGGTTTTTAGGGTTCTCCAAAGTAATGGTCCCAAAATAATTTCATTAGGACCTACATAAGTGCAAATTACTTCTTAAACTGAAGATGCTGAGAAGAAACTCAGCAATGTCCTTGTCTATTAAGACATTTTACAATCGTCTTTCCCCTTGCCCTTCCCTTTCCCACTTTTCTTAGATTCTTTTCTTTCATCTTCCCTGTTGCTTTCTGCGGTTTCCTTCTCAACGTCCTGATCTCCTGAAATATTTGATGCCTTTTTTTCGTGATGAATAGTACTTTTGACCTCTTGGCCTACATTTCTTGTCTCCATCTCTGAGATCAGATTAACTCCTTCATTGAGAGTCACATCTTCCGATGCCTGCCGATGCTCCTCAAATGCGTCTTCTTTAATTCCAGTAATATCATGCTGCTGATCATTAGGTCTGACTTCACTGTTGATTTGGCTGTCCTCTGTTAAACATCCTTCTACATCTGTTGTTGTTTGTGGGTTTTCTGTGTCTTGTCCATCATCTTTCTGCTCCTTTGGCTTTGATTCCTGATCTGCAAGTTCTAGATGTTCATCTTCTTGAGTTTGGTCCTCATCAGTGACATTGCTTTGGTGCTCCTGGCTTGCTTCTTGGACATTTTCTTTTAAAAGAGTAACTTCCTCATTTGGCTGATCTAGAAAGTTTTTTAAAGGGGCATCTGATGATGTTTCAAGATCCATTTCATCAAAATCAAATGATTCTCCGTCATCTTCCTCATCTCCTTCCTTGAGCTCTTGAGCAGCCACATCTGACTTCACCAGAAGGTCTTCTTCATCTTCAGGCAGTTGCACTTCAAGTGTAACTTGATTTTGGATTGATCTTTCCTCCTCATCTTTTTCTACCTTGGGTTTTTGGTCAGAAGCATCTGACTCTCCAACAGTTTCCTGAATTGCTTCATTGGCAGACAGGTGATCCTCATGCACAACCTGAACCTGGGTTTCAATTAAAGGAGTGTTGTCGACATGGCTTCCATCAAACACTATTTCAGTAGGCACTTTAAGATTTTCTTTATCCAGTCCATCTTGTGTCTCAACCTCTTCCTGGTCCAGTTCTGCTCCAATACTGTCTTGAAGTTGGCTTTCCATTAGCTGGTCAACAGGTTGTTCCTGGATTACCCTTTCAGCTTCATTTTCCGCCTTCTCCATTACAGGGGAAGTGGGATGAGCAGAGCCATCTTGATTTTCAGGGTTGGTGGTCCCATCTAGATCAACATTCAGGAGCTTTTCTTCCTGTTCTATTTCACAGTTCAGATGACTCTCCACTTCCTTGATGTCTACCGATGCAGATTTCAATGATTTCAACTCAATGTTCTCAGAGCTGCTGGTGGACTCAACACCCCCTTCAACAGCATCCATGGACTGAGCAGAAGGTTCATGAGGCAGTGAAGTCTTTGTTTCTGAAGATACAAGCTCGCAGCTAAAGATTACAGCTTCAGAGTCAGGATTTGTTGAATCTTCAGTGTGTTCATCAATTATGTTTGTGGGGTTCAAGATAATATTGTTGGACAGATCATCTGAAATCACGCTATTTCCAGATTCAGGGCAATCAAAATTTGAGATTGTTTTAGAAATTTCTGCTAAATCAGCTTCATCTGTAACTAACATAATTTTATCTTGAGCATCATCAGCATTTATATTTGTGCTTGTTGTTTCGATACCATCCAATTCACTGGTTCTTTTAGCATCATGTGGGACATCTGTATTCATTGTTGTTTCGGATTTATCATTCCCTAAGGGATGCTGATGGTTTCCTTCTAGATCACCCTCCATTTTTTGGTTTGTATTGTCTTCACTACAACCTGTTTCATTCTTGTCATCTATCTTTGTGTCACTCTCTTGCTTGTCACTCTGTTTCTGCTTCTGCTTGTTTTTCTTCTTCTTTTTCTTCTTTTTATTTGAAGCACTTACACCTTGGGTTTTAGCAAGCTTCTCTGTCTGAGATGATTCTACAGGCTCCTCTTTGAGTTTATCATCAAGCACAGTCTCACCAGGTTTATCAGTTTCATCATGGACTGAACCAGAGACCGACTCTGAAGTAGTTTCCTCTTTGATGACCTGACTAGGTTTGACGCATTCTCTCTCTTGTTGATCTGTCTCCAAATGTCCATCCTTGTGAACTTTGCACCCTAATTCCACAGTATTACCTCTTGAATCTTCCGGTATATGTTCCTCAGATTTGATCTCCTCCTTGGGTCTTGTTGCAGTGAGTTCATCATCATCAGAACTTGGAGGTTCTTCAGGTCTATTCTCAAGCTGCTCTACACCCTGAATAATTTGGTCCCCAAGTTCTCCATTCTCCATACTTGCTTCTAAAGGTGTGTTTGAAGAACTGAACTGGGAATGTGAAAACTGCTGATTCCCTGGCACCCCGTCATCCAAATCTTTTTGTTGCTGGTCTTTACACACCTTCAACTGATGAGTGCCTGGGAGATGATTGAGGTGTCAGTAGTTAAAGCCAAAAGAAATATGTCTGTAGAAGCCATTTAATATTTGGCAAATGTTTAGAGCGAGAAGAAAAAGACAGAGGGAAAGGAGTGAAAAAACGAAGACTCCATGGCAAAGCTCTTAAACCCATACAAATCAACTGTGTTGAAGGATGTCCCAAAGAAGAAAACCCCACAGCAACGTCAAGAACTAAACAAACTACTCTGCAAATCCTTCTCTTGATTTTGATTTTAAATCAAGGATGATGAAATATTTTCAGCAATTTTATAAACACTTTATTTAGTATTGGAAGCAGATTTAGCAGAGTATTGGAATATGGACTCAAGAAAGAGACATGACTCTATAGTGTTAACTTTCATTCTAGCTGTATATGCAAAGCTGTTACAGGGAAGCGGAAATTGTGAGAGATGTTAATGTGAAGGTGCATTTGTACCACATACACAGAAATAGTTTGGTTAGACTTGGCTCAAGCTGTACAAGATGAAAATGCAAAGTGACAAAGATAAAAAATGTTAGCGTGCAATGAATGAAGTTAAGAAAAGCAGCTTACCTAGTACGCTACTCCCCTCTCGGATTTCAGCTGATGCTGTTTGAGAATTCTGATCAGCCTTTCCGACTTCTTCACCTGTTTCTCCATTGGTGGCCAAGTCGGGTCCAAGGACAATGCCATGTTTCTGGACAGGAAAACAATTTAATATTAGTTTACTTAGTATAAAAACAGATCCGTGTTAATTTTAGATGCACTTAGCCTAGAGTTATTATTTTTAAACGTATATATTTGTGGATGCAAAAATATTATGATTACGATTCTGTTTACTCAGTTAGAAGCTGAATGTTAGCTGAATCAGTTTCGATTTATATTATATTCTGGATCTTAACATCTTTAGATTACTAAAAATTATTACAAAGCTGTTTTGTTAGGAAATGTTAATGAGAAAAAAATTAGCCCTAGTTTTCACCACACATATCAATACCTTCAAAATATCTTTGAGCTGAACAACCTCATCTCTAAGCTCATCCCGCTCATTTCGAATGGCATCAGAAAATTCCTTCTGCCTCTCTAATGCCTGAACAGCACCAGAAGTGATTTGGCAAAGATGCAGCAAAGAGGAGAAAAAGAAGGTGAAAGCAATGATAACATCAGTGCTGCAGACAACAAGAACAGTTTGGCAATGACAGACAGATTGTAGCAGGAAACAGATGTAGAATCAAGCTAATCAACAACTATATGTTTGAAAGGTGAAATTATAATTCTCTTAAAATGAAGGTAAATGACAAATAACATTTTTACAGGAGGGATCTGAGGAATCATACCCCAATTTTTTTATTCTTCCACTCAATAGTTTCCTGGAGGTCAGAAATCTCCCTAAAATAGCCATCTTGCTTGAGCCGTAATTGACGGATCTCCTACAGAGAGGTATTGTGCATGGAAGAAGAACAAAGATGAAGGAAGGAGAGAAGCTGTTAAAGCAGATGGGCAGATAAGCCAAGCATTTGAATAAGACAAAGGTTTTAGTACAGAGACATAAATACTCACAGTGAGCAGTTCTTCACTCTGTTTCAATGTCTCCTTCAATTCATTGAACTGAAACTGCAGTATACTATGAGCATGCTTCTCTCGTTCAAGGTCCTAAAACATAAAACTAGCTTTAGTTTTTTTATTTAATCTTTAAATGTAATATTTAAGAGTGTCATCACTGAGATTGAAATACAAAAACGCCATTTTTACAC